AGATATCTTTAAAGCCCAAGTGATCATTATTCTAACCATTCTGTAAGAGACTGGATAGCTAGCTCAATGGTTAAGAACATTGGCTGCTCTTTCAGAAAATCCATCCAGGTTTTGATTCCCAGTACCCAAATGGCAATCCTCAACTGTATATAATGTCAGACACAAAGGATCTGATGCCCTCTCCTGACTTCTGTGGACATTGTGCTTATGGGGCACACATACACATATGTAGGCAAAACAGCTACACTCATAAAATAAAACAATTTTAAAGTCTTTTAAAATTTATTATAAGTGCCTATGACCTTTGCAGTGCTCAGTTCAACTTTGGACTACTGAGATCTCAGCAGTACAATACAGATCAATTGAAAGGTAATCTAAAATCTCAGAACAAACCTTTTTCTTTCTTCCCAGGCACCTCCCAGCTATGATAAAGTGATGGAGATGGAGTACCTCGACATGGTGCTGAGTGAAACGCTCAGATTATACCCAATTTCTGACAGACTTGAGAGAGTCTGTAAACAAGATATGGAAATGGGTGGTGTGTTTATTCCCAAGGGGTCAATAGTGATGATACCAATGTTTTCTCTTCACCGTGACCCACAGTACTGGCCGGAGCCTGAAGAATTCCGCCCTGAAAGGTACTAGAATTCCAGTAGTTGGAACCCACTATGAACTGTGCTGGGCTGTATATACTATAGTGTCTCTAATGAAAAGATGATCTAAATGGGATTTAGTATCCATTTGCATTCTGTGAAGAGAATGACAGAAAGGGGAAAAAGGAAAGGGGAAGAGAGATGGGAAGAAAAAATGAGAATTTAAATACAGTGTTTTAATTCTCCTTCATCAAGTAACAAATGACCAACTTAAGTGTGAGGCAGGAACCTGCTTTCCTTCAGTCTAACTGACACATGCTTTTGAGAGATGGAACCCAGCATTATCTTGAAGAGACATTAGGAGTTTAGACATATATTTCCCCTTTTGCTTTTATTCTTTGACAATAGCATGTATGTAAAGAGTATTTTGGTTATTTTTTATTCTTTGACAATTGCATGTATATATAAGGTATTTTTGTCATTTTCGCCTCCTACCACTTCTCCCTTGCACACTTGTTTAAGCCCTGCTTGTCCCCATCAAGTCTTCCTCCTCTATTCATGTCGTCCTGTTGTCTTGTGAATCATGATTTTAATTGGGGTTGCTTGCATAACCACAGGTCTAGGAGTTATTTACTGCAGAATGGACAACTCACCAAGAGCTACACCATTAAAAAGAATATCCTCCCACTACAGGAACCATTGCTTGTCAATAGTTCCTCACAGAGGTGATGTTTCACAAACTCCCTCCCCAATCCTTGATGGAGTGTATCAACATGGTCTAGCCTTGTGTAGGCAACCACAGTTGCTGTGAATTCATAAGTACAATGGCTGTTTCAGGTCCAGAAGATAGTGTTTCACAGCACCCCTTTCATTCCCTGGATCATATGTCATTCTGCCCCCTCTTCTGAGATGTTCCATGAGCCTTGCAGGGGATGATACAGATGTCCCATTAAGCACTGAGCACTCCACCATCACTCATTCTCAGCATTTTAAGCAGTTATGAGTCTCTGTGTTAACTGTCTCCCACTGCAATCAGAAGCTTCTCTGATCAAGACTAATAGCAGCACTATTTTTTGTGTATAAACATGAATATTCAGAAGACAGTTTGATACCATGTCCACTTAGCAAAACATCAGTAGTACATTCAACCCTAGTGCATATAACCTCCAGATTTACAGTATCAGGCATTAAATACCACTGTAAATTGGAACTCTGATCCAATCAGACAGTGGTTCATTATCCCTACCACATAACACTAGTGGGCACATAGGATACATTTTCTGTCTAAAGCATTTGTCTTATCTCAGATATGGAAACTTTTTTAGGGCAAGGGGGACAAAAAGGACTTTTAGTGTACAATTCTCAGAATCAAATACCAGGAATCAGTTCAGTGAACCTTTACTATTCTCCCTGTATGTCTGGTTAGATGTCTGAAGGTAAATTCATGGATGTAGATCTTATGCTTCTATCCTTTTCTAACTTGTTATTACTCGTGTCTCCAGGTTCAGCAAGGAGAACAAGGGCAGCATCAATCCTTGTGTGTACATGCCCTTTGGGTATGGACCCAGGAACTGCATTGGCATGAGGTTTGCTCTCATGAACATGAAACTTGCTCTCACTAAACTCCTGCAGAACTTCTCCTTCCAGCCTTGTAAGGAAACACAGGTGAGGGAAAAAACTATCTCTGTAAATAATGTTTTATGGGAGACATTTTTCAACTGAAGGTTCTGTTTATAAAATTGAATCTGGTTGTTTGAGGTTTGCTAACTTGTTTTATGGCCTAATAAGTTATTTGTATCCAAGGAAGAATTGATGGGCCTCTGGTGCTGAATCAATATAGAGAACAACTGTAGCATTATGAAGAGTTAGTGCAGGCCTGTATGACAGGGTTATGTGCATTCTCTTTGTAGTTCCAGTCATGTCCACGGAAAATTGTTATGCCATGTGCTATAAAGCGGTTCAGTGATTATGGCTTCCTGTTTGTTGGGTGGTGCACTATTCTTCCAGAACTCACAGAAGCCCTCCTCTGACAGTCCTGTCAACTACTGGCTGTATATTAGAATCACTGAGGAACTTTACAACTCATATATATTTCTCAAATGGCAAAGTGCTTACCTGGCATGCACAAAGACCTGGTTCCCATCCCCAGAAATGCATGAAGCTGCTTTGAGGAAGCATACCTGCAATCCCTGTACTCAAAAGGATAAGGCAAGATGATCAGAAATTCAAGTAATCCTTGGCTGCATAGTGAATTTGAAGCCAGCAGGAGCTACAGAATACCCCACATCAGAAGCAAAAACAGAAATTCATGATTCCTGGAGATCATGTCTAAAATCCTAAAATTCTTTACCTAGAGTGTGGCTTTAAAAGCCCATCTCTGGCTTTCAATGGGATGCTAAATTGAGAATCATTATTGTAAAACATAAATGTTAGGGCTCAAGTGATGGCTCAGTGGTTAAGAGTACTAGCTGCTCTTAAAAAGTACCTGAGTTCATTTCCCAGTACACAAAAGTTGGCTAACAACCATTTGTAAATCCACTTCCAGGGCTGCTTTTGTTCTTTTCTGGCTTCCATTGAGACTGCACATATGTGGTATACAAACACATGTGCAGGTAAAACATTCCTACACATACAATAAAAAATAAATCTTAACAAAGTTGCTGGTTGTGGATGATTTTCAACCTTATGAGACATTTGCTGGTTCTGCCTCACTTCTCAGGACCTCTGCACCAGAAACAAATATCTGTCATGTTTCCATAAGCAATGTATTCTTTTTTCCTCCATATTCTTCTCTCATATTCAAGTTCTTGTTAATTCTGCGAATGAATCTTCTTCTTGGATGTATTTCCTCATGTGTGTTACATTCTACTTTGGGTTCTGCAGGCTGTATTTATCACCTGTGCTAATACTTTGTCATTAAAGCCTCCAGTTTGGTTGTGCTTTTTCTCTCAGTATTGAAGGATATTCTGTATCTTTCCTATACCACCTCATATCATTCCTTCCACCAACTCCAATGATCCTTTGTGGAGAATTTGTGCATTGAAAGCCTTTGGTAAATGTTTTGAAGTAGAGCTTACAATTTTAATATTCTTTCATAAAAACATCAAAACTAATTTTAAAATAACAGATAACACTTGTGTATAAATTTTATGCACATCTCTTTTTTATGCCTCATGGAAAACAGATGTATACTACTTAATATTTTAAAAGAATATGATAGGACATTTAGAGAAAGCATTTGCATTTTCCTGAACAATTTATTCCTGTTTCATGCAAAGGTATGGCTAAAACTTAAGAGATTTGTGTGTTTAAAATGTGCCTTCTCTTTGTCAATTAGTTTTATTGAATGAAGAGAGGGATGGAAATATTTGTTCTGTGATTTGTGGTTTAAGGAAGTTATGTAGATTAGTCAACCCACAACCTCACTTATTTTACTACTTTCTCCCTAAAGCATTTAAATCATAAGCATGTACAGAGATAAGGACAGACAAAGCAAAGTTCAAGTTTTGAGAGCCAATGGAACATCTTTCAAAGGCAGATGCTCTGGCAAGCTCCAATCATCTTAAATTTGACTCATCTCTATCTCCATGACAACTTTGTTATCCTCCCTTCTCTTGTGAACAAAAGATCATTCCACTGTTCCCCTCTGTCTCTGAATAGCATAGGACTAAAGCACCACTGAAAACACAGGACTCAAAACTCTTCATTGATCCCATCTTTCAAAGTCATAACAGATGCTAGGAAAGCAAGCAAATATCTCTCCTCCTAAAGACTTATCTGAATGGACACAACTGTACTAGTGACATTTGATCTAGGATGTGTGGACTGTTCATAGAGTGGAAATGTATCCTCTCATGGTTAACTTGCAAATGTCAACAAACAAAAAATAACTTTTCAGGACTTCAAAAAAACAATATGACATAGTAACTAAGAATCAGGCTCAAATATGTAAAATTGGCCAGACTTAGTGGCTCATGTATTTAATACCAGCACTCACGGGCAGAACTCATCTCTGTGACTTCAAGGCCTGCCTGGTCTACATAATGAAATGTAGGGCAGACTCAGGTACAGAGTGACACCCTGTCTTGAAAAAAATAAAACAAAACAAAAATTAAAGTTTAAAAATTTTAACAGTTTTACTCTAAAGTAGTATAGAACTGAAATAACGTAAATAAGCATGGCTTCATCTCAATCCCTGTCTACCATAGAGTCTCAATAAATATATTGCCTTATGCATATTTGGAAGCATGTTTTTCACCATCTAATGGACACAGCTTGGAGATAAGGAAGTCCAAGCATATGACCTCAAATGCAGCTTAGATGTACCTTCAAAACATCATTCCTTTCAATTTGGGTTGTTGTCGGCTCACTCATTGATTCTCAATTTTTTTTCTTCCATGGTTGCAGATTCCCTTGAAATTACACAGAAAACCACTTCTTAAACCAGAAAAACCCATTGTTCTAAAGGTTGTACCACGGGATGTGCTCATAACTGGAGCATGACTTTCCCTCAAGGACTCTGCAGTGTTCCTCTTCAGGTGGTGTCCAAGAACATTGGAATCTTTAATTTACTTCATGAATAAAACACAGATGAAGATGAGGATTAATCAACTGGACTTGGTGCATGGTTAAGGATTCAGTACATCCATTGAGCTTTCTCATTGTCAAAATAAAGGAGAATGTCACAAAACAATCCCACACCAGTTTGGAATTATGATTAATAGACGGGTTATTTATTTAAAGGGGAAAACTCACAGATTACCATCCTGGACAACAGCCCCCTGCATGACCAGGAAAAGTCTGGTAGTCAGAAGCAGAGTCTGAAGCAAGAGAGGGAGCACATGGCTACCACTGCTTTTGCAAGCCAAAGAGACCACGCCCAAGTAGGCTGGTATCTTAAAGGCTATTGGCTAAAGGAGCAGAAGGAGCTCCTGCAGCACCTCCCTCTTTTGTTTAAGTAAGAGAGTTCCAAACCTACTACAAAATTATATACAATAAGAGCAAATATCCTATTCTAACTAGCTTAAGTCTTGTATAATAAATAACTTGGACAAGTCATGAGTGGAAAGTAATTACATTTATATAGTCTTCTACCTCATCGAAGTTCTGAGAAGGGAAAAAATGTTATTTGAGTAATTAGGAAGTGCAATCAAACAACTTCCAAAACATGCAACGAATCACAGAGACAACTGGCTACCTGGGCAATCACCCAAAGTCACATTTGCAACGTTGAGGCACACAACTTTAGCTAAGGCCTAGAATAACTGACAGATTATATTTAAAGGCAAGAAAATTTTCAAAACCGTATTGCCCTGTCTTAGCAAGATTTGACAGTTCTGCTTATGTATTTCCAGATACTATGTATTTTTCAGTAGTTGAAGTATGGGCAGTTCCTTGCCCAGAGGCTGGTTTTGCCAAGAAGAAGACAAGCTCCAAGTGGAGTGTCTTGGGTGCTCAACAGTCTCTTGGGAATAGATCGGTGTTGCCAGGAGCGATTGTGTCTCACTACCACATAACTCTAAGTTAGATTAAATGCCATTTTCTACAGCTCTTTGAAGAAGTTGAAGATTATCTATTTATATGGAATATAATCTTTATGTATCTAAAAAGACCCAATTAGTATAACTATCAATATGACAAACATAGATGACTATTACTCTATAATTCTTAATACCTATCTAACATAAAGATTAAGACAGTAAACAACTATGCAATAAATGAGGACAATGACTCCAAATGTAAACAATGTACAAATATCTTGATCAGAGTTAGAAATGTACACTGCAATATGGTAAATATATATATAAATGTTTTTTTTAATTTTTTTATTGAGAAAAGAAGAAAAAAAACATAAACAAAAAACAAGTTCCCACCTCCTCCCAGCCTCCCATTTCCCTCCCACTCCTCCCACCCTTTTCCCCCTCCTCCCACCCTTGTCCCGCTCCCCCCACTCCTCTCCCCCTCCCTCTCCAGTCCACAGAGCAGTCCATGTTCCCTGCCCTGTGGTATGTCCTAGGTCCTCCCCGCTCCGTCCATATCTAGGAAGGTGAACATCCAATCTGGTTAGAATCCCACAAACCCAGCACATTAAGTAGGATCAAAACCCCCTGCCATTGTCCTTGGTGTCTCATCAGCCCTCATTGTTCGCCATGTTCAGAGAGTCCGGTTTTATCCCATGCTTTTTTCGGTCACAGTCCAGCTGGCCTTGGTGAGCTCCCCGTAGATCAGTTCCACTGTCTCAGTGGATGGGTGCACGCCTCGTGGTCCCGACTTCTTTGCTCATGTTCTCCCTCCTTCTGCTCCTCATTGGGACCTTGGGAGCTCAGTCCAGTGCTCCTGTGTGGGTCTCTGTCTCTATCTCTATCCATCACTATATAAATGTTTTAAACAGAGGTAGACGCATGTGTGCATACAATATTCAAAATAATTTAACTTTGTATTCATATACAAGAATCTATGCCATTGTAATTTTCTATACATAATAACTCACAAATACCAATCTATTATCCCATTATCCAATTTTCCCTCTTTTTTTTTCAAAAAGATCCCTGAGCTTATAAAATTCCTCCCCCAACTCTCAACCATATATCAATTATAATCAACCCCTAAATGATGTCCCTAAACCTGAGGACAAACATTGCTGGGAGAGGAGACATCGTCCTCTAAAATTACCTCCAGCAACAGGAGCTGGAGAAATGGCTCAGTGGTTAAGAGCACTGCCTGTACTCCCAAAGGTCCTGAGTTCAATTCCCAGCAACCACATGGTGGCTCACAACCATCTGTAAGGAGATCTGGTGCCCTCTTCTGGCCTGCAGGCACACATGCAGAAAGAATACTGACAATACTGTATACATAATAAATAAATAAATCTTAAAAAAATTACTTCCAGCTGTCATGGGGGCAACGTTCTTTCTAGGGAATCCTGTGAAAGTAAAATGATGGTTAAATTTCAAGAATAATGTCTGGTAAGACTGCAAATAGTCTTTGAGTATTTTGTGGAGGTCTGGCCAGAATGTTGTAAAAGATGTACACCATTTCAGCTAACCAAGTAGGAACTGTCTTGTGCAGCTGGTACCCAAAACCAGTGCTTTGTTGTAGCAGCACCATCAGTATCATGCATCATATCTACCAGGTGGAGTTGTTGTTATGGGTCCCCATTTCTTCCTGGAAACTTCAAAGATTACTGCAGGAAAATTCATTGTTCATTGTGGAAAACTTAAACATTAATTATATAGACCTAAACAGACATATATATTCAATGAAAGGCATGATAGATATGAAGAAAAGCAAAGATGTTTTCTAAATTCTTTTTGCCTTCTGTCCCATATCATGGCTCTTGATATGAGACAGAAACTCTCGGTTTTTCTCTTAACAACAGGCTTGGAATTAAAGAGGGACTGAGCCAGATTTCCAACTCCGAAACCAGCTCTATATACTTATGAATATAAGTAAAAAAGATTGTGTGGTATACATGTAAAATGCTTAATATTTAAGAAAAAACACTTCATTTTCCTAGAGACATAAGCTGGACCATTATTTGTTTTAATTTGTGCAGGTATACCCATGATGGCCATATTTTAATTTTCCAAATTCTGCAAAGTGGAAAACATCCATCTGCCAAATTTCATTTCTTTGAGTACCCTTTGGGTTAGTCCCTGCATGTAGTGGTGTTTGGTTATATAAAGAGCAAGTAGGGAATCTCTTTATAATCTCCTTAGCTTGTTGCCATGTAATACAAAACTCTTTCTTTAAAACTTTGCTAATGATGTCATTTTTTTATGAAATTCTGAGGCCTGCAACATGCTTCCAATCAACAATCAATTTCTGCATTACATTGTGCTAGAGGACCTGGCATACCCATATGGGATCGAATGTGTGTTGTGTACATCGGACGAAGCCTATTTCTGATTATGTCCTGTACCTGAATAAACAATTAAGTCAATTCTGTATTATCTTGTATAAATTCAGTGGTTTCAATATGCAAGATAACTCTTTCTTCATATTGTGAATCAGTAACTATATTAAGAGGTTCTTTAAAATTAACTCTTTTATTTCACCAGTATTGAAAGGCACTATAATTTCTGCTGGATCTATACCTGCTAGTTGATTAAACCTCAGTTTACCTTTTATAATTAATTCAGAGACATTTTCCACATAAGGTTTTAATTTTTTACTTGGTTTGTGTGGTAAAAAAGGTCCATCTAAAATATCTTCCCTCTGCGTTAAAATTCCTGTAGGAGAAATTCTGGAAGGCAATATGACTAGAATACAACTAAGATTTGGATTCACCTTATCTGCATGTGCCTCTTGTAATTTTTCCTCAACCACTGTCAATTCTTTTTCTGTTTCAGCTGTTAATTCTATCGGACAATTCAAATCTTTATCACCATCTAAGGTTTTGTTTAAATGAATTATTAAATCAGGTGTTATCCCAACAGATGGTCATAGACTGGAAATGTCTCCTAACAATCTTTGAAAGTCATTAAGAGTCTGTAATCAGTCTCTCCTAATTTGTGCCTTTTGTGTTCTAATTTTCTGTAAACCTATTCTGTAACCTAGGTAATTAACAGAATCTCCTCTTTGAATCTTTTCAAGAGCAATTTGTAATCCTCATTTAGGCAAAACTATATTTATTTCCTCAAACATTCTTTCTAAAGTATCTATACTTGAATCCGATAGCAAAATGTCATCCATGTAATGGTAAATTATAGACTTAGGGAATTGCCTAAGTATTATTTCCAACATCTGACTCAAAGTATTGACACAGGGTTGGGCTATTGAGCATCCCCTGTGGGAGGAGAGTCCACTGGTATCTCCTAGTAGGCTGAGCGTTATTGTAAGTAGGCACTGTGAAGGCAAATTTTTCTCTATCCTTTTCTTGTAAAGATATAGTGAAGAAGCAATCCTTTAAATCAATAAATATAAGAGACCATCCTTTTGGTAACAGAGAAGGCAGAGGAATTCGAAACTGTAGAGGGCCAATAGGTTGAGTTACCTTGTTGACAGCCCTTAGATCTGTCATCATTTCCCATTTACCAAATATCTTTTTACAACAAACACAGGAGAATTCTGGGGCCTAGTTGACTCCTCAATATGTCGAGCATCTAATTGCTCCTGTACCAATTGTTCTAAAGCCTGCAATTTCTTTATTATCCAATGACCTTACTCCATCATTTCCCCTTTTTCTGTTTAAACAAAAAGGAAAGGCTTTCACTTTAACATAGCAAAATTACATATAACAAAACAGTTATAAAGCAAGAATGACAGTTACAATATTTACATCTACTTTATCTTTTATCATAACTAAGGAAAAATATATCTATATATTCTTCAACTCCATCAAAGACTCCAGAAGGATATAATATTACCTAAGTAAATGAGAAGTAAGCATCTTACAAAACTCTAGAAATCACAGTGACATCTCGCTGCCTGGACAGTCACCCAAAGTTCCTCTGTACCATTAGGGCATCCATCTTCAGCCTACAGGCCCATAGTTTCCAGCAGACATTT